AAAATAAATGGGACCAACATAATCATCATATGCAACGCATATGAAATGTGTTTTTTTTTTCCTTTTGTGGGATTTGTAATTGTTTGATCCAGGGTTCCCTGACGAGGCAGAGGCGTGGGGGAATGAACAGAGAGATGTGACTTTTACAAATTACAATACCAAACTTTATGGTGTGACCATTATGCTGCTCACTTATTTTTACATTTTATATGCTTTCTATTAGTTTAGTATCATACTATATGCCATAAACGTAGCCTTTATATAATGTTCCAAGTCACACACACTCCATTTTCATCATAACATTGCCATCTCCCACCAAGCTTATGTTTGAAGTTTTACAACCTAAGCATGATATCAGGTTATGTATTTGATATCCACCTATTTAAGGATAATTTGGTAGACAACTAATGGCCACAAGAAAAGAAGAGTAAGTGTTCATAAGGAGATTTAATTACATTTAAGTAGTTTTTTACAATAAAATATAATATTTTTTGGACTAATGATTGTGGATCGTGGTAGTTCTTCTAGAATATTATAAATCATTATATTCTTATGAAAAGAATATAAATGTAATTTACTACACTGATATAACTTTGTTGTTCTGATTTATATGTACTACATTACTGAATTCTGCAAGAAAAATAAATATTTACCAAGAAAACAAATGTTCTATAATTGATAAATATTTATATTTCTAAATACTGCAGTTGGTTATTAATCTAGCTACCATTCCGTTGCACAAGGAACGATTTCTCTAAGATCTCTTGTTTTCTAGTGAGGAATAATTGTTCTTTGAACTTTAACATTACAATAAATATAGTGCAAATCTTATCACCATTATATGGTGTGATTTATGAATTATAATATTTCACACTATTGGTGACTATGGAGTATATATTATTGATTCTCTTTAGAAAAAAATAAAAATAAAAAGGACCGAATAGTGGAGAGTAATCGTGGAAAAGGCCCACAAAAGGAAGGAACAACATCAATTAGCTCGTGGTTTAGTGCCATGAGAGGTTATGATTCCTTTGCCCCCAATATTGTTAAAAGACTTCTTTACTCAATTTCTCTTTTCAGTCTTCACTAGCAGTAATGCTTATATATGTGTTTATTTATGAATTTTGTTCGATGTTTTCTCTTGAACATTTGTGTATATGACCACTCTTTCTAACAAACCATGTAGATATATTTTAATATAGTATGAGAACTTTGGATTTCTATAGGGTTACTTATCATCATAAGAATGACATGATTTTAGCAAAAATAAGAAGAAAACTTTATATCCATGTACGTTTATCTCCCACCCCCCAAAAAAAAAACAAATTTGTAAATTGTACGCAAAGAAGACATCATCTATATGCATGTATAAATAATAATTTATACGCACACGACCAAAAGTACTAATTTATCTTTACAAATATCATGTATCGACCATATCTTAAGAGGCGCATTTACACGTCGAGCTATTACAAATAATTGAAAGATATGCTAGTATGCTACATATTTCCTTTTGAAAATATTAAAATCTAAAAACATGCTATTGTCTCGGTGGTGCAATTTGCATCATTAGTGTATAATATAATCTTAAACTCTCGTTGCGTCTTATAAGAGTAAAATCGCCAACCAGAGTGGCTTGCTTAAGACTTAATTATAAATATACTCTTTTAAGCTTTAAACTCACAACAAATCTCCATATTTAATATATTTTAACAGATTAAGCGCTATATAAAATACTAAATTATATAAATCATATATTAGTTCTCTTGTCACTAGCCTGATGTATGAATAGCTTATGAAAATACCGTATATTATTTGTAATAGCTCTGTGGGCTGGTGGTTTTCAGCTAACCTTACTAAATAGGCATGAAACATCAAAATGCCTAATGTATGATGCATATATGTGATAAGAACAAATATATTGAATATTGCAATGAAAAAGAATAAAAATTGTAAATGAATGACAATAAAATTGGACTTCATTTCGCTCATACAACTTGTAATTTTTGTTTTTGTTTTTGTTTCGGTTTCTTCTTAATTTGTCATTTGCCTTATGACTTATACGTTATGACCAATTATCAGCTCAAACTAATCTGAGAATGAGAAAGAACAGTGATACTAAACCAAATTAAGCAGCTCATTGTACTCGCAATTAATTTAAAATGTAGATGTAGTGGCGAATTATCATTTTAAATGGTAAAAGTCAATGGTCAAACAAGCATGAACTTGAATTTCGTTTTTTTTTGGTCAAAGAACTTGAAGTTCAAATGATTAAAAATCTATATGAAGAATCAATGGTGTTTAAAATCATAGGTTGATAATAATTGGATAATACCTTTGAGGATGGAGACACAATAATTATATGTATGATGTGCAATATGTCACAAGTCAAAGGAAATGCTGCATATCATGTAGATAAGCGTTCGAATATAATTACCCGAACGAATTCAATACAACCAAAGAACTAAATCTATACAACATAATAAGGAAAAATATAAATACAACAAGAGCGATTTTTAAGCCTTGGTAAAAAAAAAAAAAACAGAGAGATTTTGTATCAATGTCTGTAATGTGATGCGAACTAAATAGGGCATTGAGTTTGAGATCATTTTGTAGTGCAGTGCTACGAAATTTACTGCCTAATCATAAGAACTTGATATCAAAACCGGTAATTTCAAAATTTATATACCGCTATATATCATTATTTTTATTATTCACGAATCATTTACTATTTTTTATTATCGTCTACGTCTACGGTCTACTGCTTTGTGCCGCTTAACCGATGCATTGATTTTTTTTCAGGCTGTATA